AATTTATTTAACTGTAATTTTACCAAAACCTAAATACAAATTCATTTTATTAGTTTTTTTAAGTGGATCTTTACATGCTGAGAGTAAAGATGGTACAGTACTTTATTGCTCTCTGGTGGACAAAGTCAGTACTGCAGGGGAATAGCACCAGTCCAGGTCAAGAAATGGAGGAAACGGGTGTTCAAACTTAGGGAACACTGGCGCTCAGGGTGTGGCTCAAGCGTAGAGTATCAGTGGAGTAAGAGTGAGAACCTGAGTTCAAACCCCAGTACTGCCAAAAAGTAAAAATAAAAACACAACTATATAACATAAGTCTGATTTTCTGAGACCACAAAATGTCCTTGGAGAGAGATACAACTTAATAAGTAAACACTAAAATTATGTCATACTGTTTATTTATTTATTTTTCTTTAACCCAATGAGCATGGAAAGCTGTTTCTAGGAAGGATAGGAGTTCTGGGAGAATAAAATTCTTCCCACCAACTTTCAAATGCAGTGAAACACAGTTTTGAATTCTATGCAGAATGTGAGTTGGAACCAGTCCTTCTGGTCACCTGGCCCCCTTTTATCTCTAAGACATGCAGGAAGGCGCTGTGTTCATACACAAGAACCGGAGACTCACAAACAACTTGATCTGTTGGTACATCCAGTACAGGGACTAGCTCTTTAATTGTTCAAAACTAGCTAAGCAAAATCCAGTTTTCATCTCCATTTCCTACATATCTGATAAAAATCATCTTCAAGTAACTTGTAACATTTCTGATCTTACCAGAGAAGCTAAAATAGTCTGAATGATGTCTAGAGTCAGGAAGCTGTGTGAACACTTCTCAGGGGTAAGGGCTCCCTTCAACAACTGCACCAAATGTTTCCTATAGAAGACACAGAACAAGTGGTTCCTCCAAATGACAGGCAAGTATTTAATTGCCTGGGACTCTGGGGAGAAAAGTAACCAACTTTAAAGTAGGTACTCTGGCAACCAATTCTACTTGAGGCGGACCCCTAGGTCAATTATGGGCAATGTCAAGGCAAGCTTAGATGACAAGCATTGAAAACAAGAAGAAACCCTTGTTACAGATTCCTGTAACATAAAAATCTACCTCTTGCATTTTATAAACTATTCCAAATAGCCAGTGAAGCATTCCAATGTGCTGAATTTATTTATTACCAAACCAATTCTTATAGTTTTACACTGTCCCACAAACCATCTTGTCACCAGACAAAAGGATTAAGAATTTATTAACAGCTGCCTTTTTAGACTTCATCTCAAGTGGTCTTGAAGACGTGAGTACTAATAACTTTAAAGAAAGGCATGAGATGTTTAAGTCTGAAAACAAAGATTTTTGACTAAGGCCAAAACACTAAACTTACTAGCATTCATTCCCTACCAAAAATGTAGTCCAATTTCCTCATTTTAAAGAGTTCATTTGTTTTCCCTTTTGGGAGGAGAATTTGGGGAACAACTGACCTGTACACACCACTAACTTCAGTCTTGACTGTGAAAGATTAGCCATTTACTAATAAAATAAGTTTTACCAATGAGGTGCACATGCCACATGCATAATACACTTCAACCTCCTTTTTATTACATCCTTCATATATTATGTATCAATCATACTTTGAAAATGAATTAGATGAAATTAACTAGAAAAGACAGTAAACAGAGGCATTCAAGGGACAGGGGATGGATGAAAGAAGCTGATCAAAAATCAAAAGGACTTTTGCTAAATCCAGAGAGCACTTCTAAATTCATTTGGCTAAAATAAGATTATGGGTACAAACTTGCAAAATGTTTATGGAAGAGAGAGGGCACATAGCAACAGCAGCTTTCAGATCCCTTCATCAGAAAAGGCAGGCATTTGAGGAAGACTTCAGATGGGAAGATGTTCAAAAAAGATACTCAATGACCTTTAATTTTTAAAGGTACATCTAGTTTCTGGTGAAAAGAAAAGAAGGTGAAGAGTAAGATAAGGATGAAATCTTTCAACACTAGAGATGCAGGACGTTAAGAAATAAGATAAAAATAAAAGTTAAAAATATAACCTAAAAATGACATGGAGAAACAAAACAGAAATAAATTCAAAATTATCATCCAAGATTTTAGCTAGGTTGTAGAGATAAACCCATTGGAATTCCTATATTCATGGAGAACGAACTGATCAGAGGTAGGATTTAGACCAGGGAAAGAATGTTCCAGGATGCTGGCTTTTTGAAGGCACTCAAGAACAGAGTGAGAGAAACTGAAGCTATAGTGAGACAGCAGAGGATTAAACAGAGGTGAATACTCACTTATCTGTCAAAAAGAAGCAAAAACAACTACAGGAGCATCATGAAAATACAATTATTGAGTAATACACAGAATTAACAAGGTAGAGAAAAACCTAGTTTATAAGTGATTTCTTACAACAAAATAGCTCCTTAGGGAACAAGAAAGATTAGGTTGTTTTCAGGATATGCAATTCTGCAAAGTAGCTCTGACTTAAATATAGAATTTGATAAGTGGTACACTATCTGGTTCTTTAAATAAATTTACTGAAGCTAAAGTTGGAACAACTAAGGAAGTTTATTTTCCTTTGAATCTTGCAAAACCTATCCTCTAAGACAAAAAGATCTGATCATAAAGTCTATAAAAAAGTCTAGAGTATAAAAGTATAGAACTGTGAAAGTGGATATATTGACGGCAACTTTTATGGCTTCCTTAGAAAGTGTAGAGAGGACCTCTGGTTTGCTTTATCGAGGTAGTGTCCAGGGTTGGAAGGTCAGCATTGTTTCTCATGAGTGCTACAGATGACAAAAGCAGGTCAGCTAGGGTGTTGTTATTGCATGATAAGCCACTGTCTCCACTGGCTTATGGCCTTTCACTTCTGAAGAAATGATCATTGGAGAAAATCCTATCTTGGTTTAAGCAAAGGAGAAATTAAAATTCGATATTTAGTTGCTCACGTTTATAATCTGAAGAATAGTCTGAAGGGAGTTGATTTTTTAAAAAAACATAGTTAGCTGATAAAATGCTTAAACGTAACTTTTTGTTAACTATTATCCATACAATCTGGAATGGTATCAAAATACTCACCTTGTGGATCAGCAATACAATAAAGTTATCTTTTCCGTACAGTAGCTTAAACAGCAGGGTTTTTCTAACTGCAGTTTTTTGTTTTTTTTTTAATCATAAAAACCCACCTACCATAGTGTGTTTTACTAAACAAAATCTGCAAGATGGGGTGATCAAAATCTGCAATGGATTTCTATCTCTGATTCATATTCTGAAAATTTAAAACTTCCAGTGAAATCAAAATGAAATGAAATATACATATCCATTCAACAAAAACTAAAAGCTGAAAAAAATATCATGAAGTAAAAAATTAAGTTTACAAATATCTCTTGAGAGCATTTTTGCCTTTAGTTAGTGCGCTAGGGACAATCAAATTATAGGGAGAGCTCTAACAGTAACAAAAAGATACTTCCAACAAATGCAGTTTTTAAAAAGATGGTACAATGACAAACTATCCATGCTCAGTCATTAATTTACAACAGATAGACTATAAAAGTATATGGAAATTATTTTCAAAGGTTCTTTTGAACTACATTAAAGTTTTATGTGGAGACCTCCCCATTTGCTAATAACAAGAATCAAATCATAAATATACATAGAAATGAACCACATGCTTTTAAACTGTTCATCTTCTTTTCTTCATTCAAATTGAAAAACCTAACTCAATAGAGCCTATCTGACTCAATTTGAGAGAGCAGCAGCCTTTCATTAAGGCTAAAGGTTTATATTTGAATGTTAAATCTATGAGAAAAGAACAGAAGATGCAGAAACAAACAAACAAACCACAAAAAATGTAATGTCAACTCAAAAAAGTCCTTGGGGAATTTTCCTCAACATTCATGCAGGCCTTTGAAGACAGTATAAAATTAAGTAATGAGAGACAGCCTCAATTTGATATCTATGTAATGCTAAAATGTGGTCCTTATTGTCTTTAATAAAAAGACATAAGTATAGATAAAGGCTGAGAACTCAAACACTTCCCTAAGTTTTTTTTTTAATAAACATATAACAAGTAGGTAATAGGCTCTGAAGAATTTAAGGGGTGCCATACCATATACAGGAGCGAACATACCACGTAACACAACTTTTATTTTAGTAGAGGACCCCAGCCAAATTTTCAACCCTGAGTTTGAGTCTTCAGCATGTTAAACCTGATACATATATATATGTTTAAGGCTTAATCCTAGAGTTCTTATATTCAGAAGCATTACTGCTAGGATAACGCATTTCATTGTTCACATTTAATATGACAGTGACGATGAGTCATATTCTGAACAGCTTTCTTGAAGACCTCAAGTCCCAAGTCAGGGAAGGTATACTTATCTAGGAAAAAAAAAAATTGGAAGTTTCTATATTGTGCCACAATAGCATTCACTAAGAATTATACTGTGTGACAATGGACAATACTAATTCTTTTTCTTCAGTCTCTCTCTTTTTTTTGCTTCTGTTAAGGATGGTGGTGGTTATTTGCTTATTACTGGTTTTGTAGCAGGTATTTTCTTATGGCTATAGTTACTTGAATAAAATAATCAAAGATGACTACCTGAATTTTCCAGTGTATAATTATAGTACACCTCATAAAATAGTTGATTCAACGGCCTTAAGTCTAGAATTCAGAAATGCTGCCTGGTACTGTAAATTTATTTAGAACAAAATAAGGTATAACCAATTAACTAAGCTATAATTTACATCTTTTTAAAAAAATTATTTTAAAATTACAAGCTTTTAAAAAAAATTACAAGCTTGACCATAAACTAATGTCTACATAAAAGTGTGGATTTACAAACTTGTTTGTGGCATGCAAAAGAGACTATGGAGGCAAAGGGAGACAGCCTCTAAAGTTATAACAGTCTTAAGCAAGGAATTAACTTCCTTATTGGCTTGTGTACCTGGGGGCTCAAAGAATGTATGTAAATATTAAAAATACCATTCATTAAAAGCTACATCCAAAACCAACAAGAAAAGTATGTCTTGAGTTACTTTTCTGCCTTGCCGCAAAATTTTCCTATGCATTATAGAAGACAAAGGCAAAATCAGAAAAAGAAAATTTGTTAACATTAAACTGGAAAGCTAAAAGAGAGTGATACATAAAATAGGGGCTCAATCTCAATGGAGAGAGTTTCATTTTTCCCTGCTACAGAACCAACCAGCAAGAAAAGTGCTTGACGCGTATCTGCACATTTAATATTAAAAATAAAAAAATAAATAAAATCCAGGTTCTGATTCAGGCCATGATTTAAGAGCCTGAGGAAAGAGGAATGAAGGAGTTTCAAGATTAAAAAAGGGAGGAGGAGTGAGAAGTGAGCTACCCTTGGAACTGTTCTCGGAGATGAGGAAGTATGAAAGTGTAGCTGACGGAGTCTGGATAAATCTTAGTTAAGTGTAACCGTATGTCAGCCCTTCGCTCCAGCCCCGTCATCAATTCCTGATTGACAGTGTTCTTTGGAAGCACAAAGCGTGAACAGGAAGTGGGCTCTTACTGGGGAGGTGCCGGGAGGCACACTGTTCTCCTCACTCACGGCTGCTGGTGTCCTGTTATGGTCTGCAGAGCACAGGGTAGCAAAACTTAGGACCCACCCTCACTACAATTTAAACTGTGAAAATAGCTCAAAGTTGTGGACACACACACGTTTTATACGTCACAGACATTTTAACTCATAAAACTCAATTTGTTTCATCCAAATTTCTCAGCCACTACCAGCAATATCATGTTTATGATTTAAGTTTACTGTTTTAGCTTTTCGTAACAATTCTAGAAAATAAAGCAAACCTCAAAATGAGAAACTCCAATTTGTCTTCCCCTAACAGTTAAAGATGAACACAGTTCCTAAGGGAAGTGAGAAACAGATGAGACTAAAGGAAACAATCTTTGCTACTTCCTTCTCCTGAAGGTAAACATCACTCAGATCCAAATCAAGCAAGCTTTAGATGACTTTCCCAAGGAGCCTAAAGCCCTGCGCATCAGCCCATTTAATGCACTAACACAGCCCAAAGGAACACGGGGACAGGAGCACGACAGAGAGCCTGACCCACATCTGTGCTGAGCAGAGATTTTAAAACTACTGAGTACTTATACCACATCCTGAAAGTAAAACCTCGCCTTTGCAGTGACCTGGTCTGGCGACCTTCTCAGACACATCTAGTCTCTGAAGCACCTTTGAGTTGTACGGATGTAAGAATAACTTTGAATTATAGAGGTTTTAATATGCATCTTTAAGAATCACATTTTGATGATTATAAAAATCTTTTTCTATTTTACAACATAGGTTCAGCTGCACTGAAAAAATTACACCGCTTATTGAAATACATTTCATTTTAGAAACAGACTACTAAAGAAGTCTATACAAAAACTCTAAAATAATTTCTGTAGTAAAATAAAGAGTGTGTTAAGAGCTACACAAAGAAGACAATTCCGTCTTTCTCTATAATGCTTGATATACTGTGAAACATGGCCAGCTCAACTCTGTAGCCAGCACCAAAAGCTAAAAAGAATTCATTACAATACACAGTGATACAATTAATGCTCTGGATTAATCTCACAGCCTTCCCGATTAGTACAAAGGAAACCAGGCCTATCCCCTCTTTGAGGAGAAGTCTGGGATATAAAAGCAAGCATACCTCATCAGCTGATATGAAATTATAAAATCCCACAAGTCTGAGTATTTGAAATTTATAAAAGTCATCAGAAAATGCAAGCAAATTGGGCTTTAGTTCGTAGTTCCCCTGGTTTGGAGGACAGCTTCCCTGTGAGTTCAAGGTCGTCTTGGCGCTCTCTCCCTTGGGTCTGCTGATTGACAGATGGACGCCGCTCCCTCTCCCTCTCCACGGACTCACCTGGGAAGGCAGCTCCAGCTCGGGGCCGCGCTAATGGTGCTGTGCCGGGCTGTTCTTCTCCGCCAGGTGCCGCAGGAAGGTGTCCTCACTCTGGCCTCTGTGGTTTAAAGGCTCACTCTTGAAGAGCGCGGGCGGCGGGGGCAGGTGCGGGACCGGAGGGATGGGAAGGTGGTGCGGGTGGTGCGGGTGCGGGTGGATGTGCAGGTGCGAGAACGGGTGCGGGACGGGCCGAGGCGGGAGGGCGCTGACGGGGTTCAGGCTGGCGGGCGGCGCGGGGCTGGCGGGCGTGTTGACCACGGCGGGGACCGGGGCCGGGGCGGCGGAGAGTGGGATCTGCACGGCAGGCGGCACGTTCACGGGGCTGGTCACCCGGAAGCACTTCTCCTTGTGCGCCTTGAGCATGTTGGAGAAGCGGAACCGCTGGCCGCACACGTCGCAGGGGTAGGGCTTCTCGCCTGTGTGAGTTCTGCGGTGCCTCTTCATGTTAGGGCGGCTGGTGAAGCTTTTGCCACAGATTTCACAGATAAAGGGCTTCTCTCCTGAGGGGCACAGACAAGACTGGGTGACAATCATGTGCGCCTGCCATCCCCCTAATTGGGAAGCAGATCAGAGCACACGCAGGCACAGCTAGTTTGGTATGGGAACAGCTAAATTCATCAAGGTAACTAGAAAAGCATGTACGTTAACACAGCTAAAGACGTACCTAACAGATAAAACTGACCTAGCACCCATCAGTCCCTCTAATCCTGTTCTGCTTGAGTAGAGTGACAAATCCTGGAAACAGAATGAGATCCTAGAATAGTGGCTTCTTACACTTTAAGATTTCCCAGCTTCCTGCTATTTTTATTACATGCTGCATTACATTTATGTCAGAATCACTAAGTGTGTAGTCTGGAGTCAAACTGCCTTTTACAAATTATTTAACCTCTGAGTCTCAGTTTTCTTATCTGAAAAATTAAGGTAATAACCCACCTAACAGTTATTGTGATAGAAAACACAAGTAACGTGCTCAGAGCAGTATCTGACACATAACAGACACTGAATTTTAGCTGCTGTCACTATCATCATCACCACAGTTATTCACTGCAGGTGGGTTTCTCAAGGGCAAAACCAGCTCTTCACTCATTTTAGGCACTTGGCACTGTGCATTCTGCTTTGAACTCACCCTGTATCACAACATCCTAGGAAACCCTGCCTGACAGTTGGTCAGCTTCTCTAGATAAAATGTGCCTCACTTTCTTTAACTGCAAAAAAAACGGCCCCATCAATGTCAGTTCTCCCATGATGGCCTTAATCCCCACCCAAACACACTGCTGTCTCCAAACATCATTTCAGTCAGCCTTAAATGACCTCTCCCTTTTCCTCTCTAAAGCTGACCCTTTTCCTATACCCTCTCAGATACCACTGTCATTCTTATTTAATACCAAGGGGCCAAAGGCCTACAGAGGTGATGCAATTCTGCTATTGAGTGGCAGAGCCAGTCTGTCCAAAACCACAATCCAACTGCTTCCCCAATTTGAGCATCACAAGCAATATTAAATGACTCAAGCAGTAGAGTATCTGCTTTGCAGATATGAAGCCTGAGTTCAAACCTCAATATATATATAATATTATAGATTTAATATATATTAATATATATATAAAGGCAGATGACAGGCCAGGGGAAAGTATTCCAATATTGGTGTTAAACAAGGTCGAACATACTTAATATATCAAGAACTATTATAAACAATAAGAAAACTCGAACACTGCTATAGAAAGATGGACACAGAAAAGAAAATATACTGATGCCCATAAGCACATGAAAGACTGTTCAATCTTACTTACTAATAAATAAATGCAAGTTAATACAAGAAGAAACCATTTCTTGCCTATCAAATCAGAAAAGATTTTATTAGCTATAGAAAGGGCTGGAGGAATGAGGACTCTCATGACACCTGTGGTAATACATATGGAGGGCTATTCTGTAATACATGCCATCAAGCATGTATTATATCAAACAGGGAACTGGCTAAATAAATGGAGAAAACATCCTTAACTTATAGGATTGTTGTAATGGTTATATTGATTAAGTGAGTTAATGTATATAAGGCACTTAAGATAATGCCTGGCTACACATGCACAATAAATGATAGCTACTATTAGAGCACATTTATAAGAAGGAATATTATATAGGTATGAAAATTACATTGCTGATATGATGTGATATGAAATGGGTTAAAAAGCAGATTACAACAGAGTATAAAAGACCCAATTTTGTTTTCTTACTATATGCATGAATACACAAACACTTATGCATAATATTTATTTATTAAGAATTAGAAGGGTTTTGTTGTTGCTGTTTTGTTGTTTGTGGCGCTGGAGATCTAACCCAGGGCTTTGCACCTGTTAAGCAGCACATCCTCTACCACTGAGCTATACCCTCAGCCCTTGGAAGAATTTTTTTCTTGGTGGTAGTAGTGGTACTGGGGTTCAAATTTAAGGCATCGTGCTTGCTAGGCAGGCACTCTACCACTTGAGCCTCTCCACCGGCCCTGGGAATTTTTTAAAAATAAGTTAAACAGGCCACAATGTTAACAATTGATTAACATTGGTGGTCTCTATATAGTAAGGTTTCATTTTTATTTTGTTTATATTTTTCATAGCTTCTCATATACTTTAATAAGTATGTATTTCTCTTTTAATAAGATAAAATATTAAGTGAATTATATTCCTTTAGAAGAAACAGGAAATGTTCAGCCTGCATACTGATTAAAGAAGAATACTTAACATAAAATTTATTCAGTAAAACTAAAATAGTCACAAAATATCCAGCTTGGTTTCACAGTATGGACTTTCAAGGGTCTGAAGAAAACACAAATGGACAAAAGGGAAGAAAGAGAAAGAAATGCAGGAGGAGGAGAGAGGAAGAGACAGGGAGACATGCAGAGAAAGGGTTAATGGAGAGGCAGCGCCCTCAGTGCAGGAGACTCCTCTCAATTTTATGACTCCATTAAGCACCTGGGTGCCAAGCCACTTGTGTAGGAATGTGACACAACTTCTGCCTTCAAAAGAAAATTCTGTTTAGTTCCATACTTTCCTGCCAAGAAACAAAAAAAAAAAAAACACCTGAATCCTAAAAGGGATTCAATTGAATCAAGAGCCCATTCCAAGAGTCGCCAAATTATAAGTACAGAATATCTTAAATACTCTGATAGATCCTGCTATTTTTTGTGCTTTTTATTCAACGTTATTACTACTTTTTGAGGTCTAATGTAACTAATCAAACTCTTCTTATGACTTTTTGCCTAGCCTAATACTTAAAATCTGAGGGAGCTCTGTTCAGAATGAGAACAAAAACTACCCAGTAGTTACTAGCTACTTTTTCTTTGGACTGCAACAGAGAAATCGGGACTAAAATTGTCCAGTCATGGGTGGAATTTCTGCACCATTACTTAAGTAAAAGGAATAGGCCAGGCTGGCAGAGTGGCTCAAGTGGTAGAACACCTGCCTAGCAAGTGTGAGGCCTTGAGTTCAACCCCAGTACCAACAAGCAAACAAAGCAGCAGGCTAAGCAAAATAATGTCCTATAGCTCTTTGTAGCTCTGTTACTCTGTAGACTAAGAGAGCCTAGAATGTTATTAGATTTCATTTAAAAATGTGAAAATGTTTCATGCTGCTCAATTTGTACAAAGTTGGTTAAACACAGAACATCAAGTTCAGAGTGTGAAACAATGATAGTACTTTCAACAGGAGCTATTATTTTAGCCAGGTCCCTGGAAACTGGATAATCAAATGCTTATAAGATTTAAATCCATGTATGGAGCATATACCCCTAAATACACAAAGTGGTGAACATTTATTTAGATGGATTCCTGAAAGGTAGTGAATTTGGCAAGTCAAATTCAATAAACTTCTTTTTTTTGGCAGTACTGCGGTCTGAACTCAGAGCTTCATGCTCCCTAAAAAAGGACCACTTCGCCAGCCCTTTTTTATGTTGGATATTTTCAAGATAGGGGCTGGAGAACTTGCCCCAGTTGGCCTGGAACCGTAATCCCCCTGATCTCTGCCTCCTGAGTGGCTAGGATTACAGGCATGAGCCATTGGTACCTGACCTCCTCCATCTTTTTAAGGCCTAGAATCCTTTCCTTAGAAAAATATCACATGCATATATGCTAATAAAAATAAATAGAAAAAAAATGCATATATACACAAAAGAATCCAATGTCTTAAAGAAATCTGCAGTTAAAAGGCATTCACAAATAATCCTTTTAAAATAGTTATAAAAACCAAAATTTTCAGAATTACAAATTTGTATTTTTATATATCAGGCCTATATAAAGAGGGATTTTCACTTAAAATGCAAACTCGAGGTTTAGAATTTTTTACAAAACAGATCCACAGATGATCGTCAAGCAGCACTTGAGGCCCAGCAGCACCCTCCCCAGAGTCCTTACCAGTGTGTGTCTTCATGTGCTCGTCGAAGTACTGCTTCATGTTGAAGTCCTTGCCGCACCACTGGCACATGAACTGCTTGTGTCCAATATGGATGCTCATGTGGGAGCGGAGCTGGTACTTGTACTGGAACCTCTCGTCACAGTTCTGCAGGGGACACAAAGGACAAGCACGGGTTTACCTGAGCGCACCCTCACATAGTCTCTGACATCAGATTTATTTTTCATACTCAAAATAGATCCTGTTTGTGTCAACTGTTTGGCTTTACTATGTTTCTACAGCTGAGTTCTGAATAAGAGGGAAATTTTCTCATATAATTATCACTGGCACATACTCAACTTCTCTGAGTCACTGAGTTAATCTAAGTGAGGTAACCGTATATTAAGTAGGACATTTGTCTTCCTAGTAGTGAGTGCATGAGAAGCGTCTGAAGATGCAGTGGCATGCAGCCTTGTGCCTGTGTCCCAGCGCCTCTCTCACTGCTGCACCATCTATACAATGCTCGCCACAGGCCTAGCCTGTGTGAGGCATGTTCCTTACCTCGCATCTGAAGGGCTTCTCTCCAGAATGCTGCAAGGAGTGCACCTTGAGTGACATACTGCGTTTGAATGACTTTCCACAGGTTTCACATGTAAACGGCATGTCTTTTGTGTGTGCTGCAACACAGAACACACTTATACTCAAAACAATTCCATCAAAAGCTCAAATTGGAAGAGACAGATGTCATACTGTAAGGCACTTAATTTTCTACATTCTTATATGTGACACTTTAATACCAATGTTCTGAAGAGAAAAATAAATAGCAATGTTGAAAAGAGATCTGGATGGTGAAGCCAGCACTAACAAATTTGGTGATGCTTAGTGAAGACATGTTGCATTTAGTCTCAACATGTCAGAACTGACCAAAGCATGGCAGTTCTTCATGTCTCGTGCAATCTGCAGCACAAAGCACACCGAAAAAGGGGTGAGAGAAGAGCAGAAAACTTACCAACCATGTGTTTCCGCACGTGGGCCATCGTATAGAATTTCTTCTCGCAAATTTCACAGGCAAATTTCTTTTCTGCATATCCGTGGACAATCTTGATATGTTCATGAAGGGACCAGAGTTTCTTGAATGATTTGTTACAGGAAACACACTGAGCAGGATAAACAGAAATAATCTTTACTTATTGGGGTTTGCAGAAAGACATACCGGCCTCCTGGCAGATGAAATGAACATAATATTCTAGATTCAGGGCACAAGACCAGAATCCAAACAAATGCTATTTCTTCATGGAGTCCAGATTCCAACATCAACACCTGTATGTTCTATTTTCCAAGATACATCTTTAAGAGACCCTTTGGGAGTATGAAAACAATGGTAAAAACTAACACAAGAAGTGGAAAGTTCCACCAATATCAGAGAAATGACTGTTATTATCATCAAGTTAGAACTGTACCTATGAAAAGAACTTTTAAGGTTTTTTAGTACATGGATTACCACATGAGGCCACCTCCCACACATGGATCACCATACAGTTAATAATAGGTGTTTACCAGAGAACACAAACTCATTTTAAATTAGTATAAATAAAACCAAGATAAAACAATATACATAGTAATCTTTATAAATCTATGAGTATAACAATGTTTTTATACCTTATCGAATGCATTTGAACAATTCATTAACACAAACAATTAAGGTTTATTATATTTTCCTAAATCTAATTTACTCTATTAACATCTCCCTCTGGCAGAAGCTAATATAACCTCTAAACTGTTAGCATCATTCTTCTTTTTCCCCTATAGACAAGCTCTAGATCTCTCTTACACACATCTGTAAGAAACACCTATTCCTTGTGTTATGGATTAATGGACCAGAATACCAGGCATAAAGCATATCAAAATAAAATATTCTAGTTAAAACAAAGCAATACCAAGAGGATCTTGGTAACTGCCAGACTCTGGGGAATAAGTTAGTATTCTCAGTAAATGAAGACCTGTGAACACCACTGTCACTACAGGAAACAGTTGAAAGATAAGCCTTTGGTTGGTCACTGCTCTAGAAAAGGACAAACTACTCCTATAAGCCATCTTTTAGAGAGGGTTTTAATTTTTGCATGTTATCAGGTCATCAGGATTACTAGGATTTACACAAAAATACAGCATAATGTTCTTTAGAAACATGGAGGATTTTCATTTAGCAGAACCCATGAAACCTAATAGAAGTTTAAACAACCATAAGTATAAAAAGGATTTGTTAAGTGCTTTGCTTTCTGTAACTCAAAGCAAATTTAAGTTTTAAAAAAAAACTATGGACACAGATCAGGAACACCTTTTCAGTATGGAGTTTGACCCCTAGGGCGCAGCACTGCACCACATTCCTCCGCAACAATTCAAGGCCAAGTGAGGGCGCTGGCAGCTGCTGGAGAGCACCAGTGCTAAGACTCAGTCTTCTTATGTTAACTCAGTGTGTGGAGATCAAGTCACAGTTGACAAGTCAAAAGCAGTGGAGTTTTAGCAAATTTAATCTTTATGATTAAAAAAAAATCTCTTCAAAGTAAAGCACTGATTAAAAGCAATAGAAGAAAAAATTCAAGGTGACTACCAATATTAACAGCACTCCAAAAAAACAAAACAATGTATCTTTTAAAAACAGGTTAGCTTAAATATGGTACAAAATATTTTAACTGTACATATCTTAAGGAGATATTAACAGACTTACCTTTTATAAACATCCATTAATATGCAAACCAAACCAATACAGCTGCAATCACTCAGCATAATGTAATTAGTATACCTCAACCTATCACAATACAGTTCTTTCAAGATACACCAACCTGGTTTGAATACCATGTTTTGTTACCTTAACAATATTGTACAGTAGCATTATGTAACCCTATTGGCAGGTGAGCAACATTTTCAACCAGCTCAGCCTCTGTTTAAAGTTTGCATATTTTCACGGGCTCAGCCTCTTGACAAATTTAGTGTTGCCATCTCTCCATTGGTGACAGCAAACTCCCTCTTGGAGATCTTCCATTTCCACAGGTCTGAGTCATTAAGGTTTTGTCTGTAATCAGCTGCACTAGAATCTCACATCCTTTTAAACAGAAAGGAACTTTCTCTATACCTGACTTTTACTCAACATTTCCTACTTTGAAAGAAGACACCAGAACGAATTATCTCACATGTCCTACAGCAGTGATTTTCAGTGCAAAGTCAGAGCTGACTTTACGTCCTGGTCAATCATCTATAACAGATCCCCCTTCCAATGTACCTAGCTTCCCACTAGTCCAGAGTCAGTTAAGTGTAATGCTTTTGAAATACAACGTTAAGCCTTGGTTTTTAAAAGACCCAAGCAGCAGTTTCTAAAATGATAAACTGGTGAAATCTGTCCCTTCAGCTCTACTGTATTTATTCTCTTGGGCAAATACCAGATGATTTGAACAGCCAGGCTCTATCCTGGAAAGTTTGCCCTCTTGGTGATGAGACCTACCTGAATGTTTTTTTCACAGTCTGTTTGCTGGTGAAGGGACAGCTCACTTTCCAGGACAAACTTCTTGCCACATTTATCACAGATCTGCATGCGCCTGTGAGTAACGTTCATGTGCTTCTCCAGGTACCAGCGAGTATTAAACACCCTGGGGCACTTCTCACAGGTCAGAGTCTCTTTCTCTTCACACTTAGCTTTCTGGACTGGTGCTTTGGGCTCCTTTGTGGCCCGCTTCTTACGCTTGGGTGGCTCTACACTCTTCCTACGCCCTCTTGTAGTTCTGGGAGTAGGGGAAGTGGCAGCTGCAGCAGCAGAGGCAGCTCTCCTCGTTCGCCTTTGTGTAACGCTGACTTTCTCCACTAGCTTCTCCTTTTTCTTCTGCCTTTCATTCTCTCCATAGTCATTGCTGTCATCAGTGGCCTCTTCCTCACTCTCTTCCTCTTCCTCCTCACTGCTTGTCTTAAGAACAGGAGTCTCTTTGGACTGAGAAGAGACACCCTTTTCCCCTTTAGATACATTTAACGTTTGATTATTAAGGTTTACCTCCACTATGATCTGCTCCCTTTTGTAAGAGACTTCCTCCTCCTCCTCCTCTTCCTCCTCTTCTGTGTCATCAGAATTCTCCCGGTCTTCTTTGACAGCACGCACGTCAGACACTGCTCTTGTCTCCCTGAAATATGGCTGTTCCTCTGTCTCGTGCAGATGTGGTTTGCTCATCTTGTTGTCTACTAACACAGAATATGGGCTTCCTGATTCTCTTTTATACACTTTGGTGGACAGGTCAAGTTCTTGGTTGGCACCATGATAAAAGGTAGATGGCACTTGACCCCGACGGCTATCTTCTTGTGCCATCCCTGCTACATGCACAGCACAGTTTTCAACCAGCTCCTGACAAGGACTGGCTGTGTGGCTCATTGGTAAGTGACTCAACTTATTAAACAGTTCAGACTATAGAGAAATAGCTTTAAAACAAGGTAATTACTAAGCCTCATCCACAGAGACCTACTCAAGTGAAAAAAAGACACTTCTGGAGCCTGTGTGCAATTCTTCCGGTGTCACAGCACCAAAACATGTCAAACAGGGTTGGATTACGGCAAGAGCAGAGCACTGCTGGTTTTCTTCTGAAGAGAGCTGCAAGTGACTTGGAGCATCTTATCTACAAGAGAAAGGAAAAATCAGATCCCACCATTTTCCTTCTCAGGGCATGTATTTGTTACAATAAACAGAGCTTAAAATTATTGGGGGAAGATGGTGGGTGGTTAAAAGAGACTATATTAACATAGATGGGGTGAATTTGATCAAAGTATATTACATACATGTTGTAAATATCACAATGATATCCCTTTGTACAATTAATTTATGCTAATAAAAAATTTTTTTAATTATTAAACTCCTTCCATATACAATGCTTTATGCTACTTAAATGATTCAGCCTGGCTTATTACTTTACTGGCGTATGTGAGTCCACATTTTCTGTTAGGATATAAATTCTCTGACAGCAAGAGCCACATCTGTCCAGTTCACCTATGTATTCTCAGAGTTTAGCATAGTGCCTAGCATATAGAATATATCTGATGAGTAAATCACTATCTATTACTGGGTGGCATCTGTTGTTATCCTAGATGCTGCAGGATACATTGACATGGCACAATATATGGTCTTTGTCCACAAGGCATTGACAGTCTAGTTACACAAGATACCATGAAACACTCAACAGCTTTACATGGGCAGACTTTCTTTTAGCATCAGTCACCACAATGAGAACCCAGGAACAAAGGTGGCAGGCCAGGTACTGCAGACCATGGAAATAAAACAGCCAATTGGCATAGTCACAGAAGAGAAAAAAAATTTCCCTAGCCTTAAATAATTTATAGACTAGGTGTACATAAAACTGTTTCCAGAATTTTGAGAGTGATTTCAAAGTTTTTAAGCCTTTTAAAATTTGTTGTATCAGCTCACTAGGTCTACTCAACAACGCGGTGATTTTTCCCATGTCAGTTGCACAGAAGTCTAAGTTCTGAGAAACAGTAACCATCAGGTTGATATGGTTCCAAGTTAAAAAAAAAAAAAAATCCACTAAAAAAAAAAAAAATTAGAAAGGCAACCAATTTGCTCTGTGACATGCCTCACACTGCCGTTTAGCCAAGCACCTAAGCGCTGAGTCATCTGAATCCTGCAGACACCTACCCTGCCCAGCTGACAAAGGAAGGAAACTAGTGCTTACTGAGTGCCTGCCATGTGCAGGACACTGCAAGCTTTTATTATCCCTTACTTATACTTAATAACCTCTGTAAAACTTTGGGATTGATTTTAATTTTTTATTTTCCTCTCTTTTGAAAAAACTTTGGGTTGATTTTTAAACTCTTTTTTTTTGTTTTATTTGAAAGTTATAATTTATTTCATTTGGGAATAAACTCATTTTCTTAAAAGTAGTCATTTAAAAAAAAAAAGCATCCATGATTTTGACCAGTCGTGTATCAACTGTACTTGGGCCATCTCAGACCCATTCCCCAGAGGCAATAATGTCATTTTAGCTATTTCCCTCTGGGTATTTACTTCCATTTTTCTATGTATGAATATATATTCTCATTTTTGACACTTTTGTCCAATTTCAAATATTACTTATCTCCTACTATTGTTTGGTTATAAAAATCAATTTTTATGGCTTAAATTATGATGACTGTGAATAGTAACTATTTTTCATTCCCTTTTGCTATGGTCTTCTGTCTTCTCTTTCATTCTCTCCCATTTCTTTGTCCTGACCTTTTTTTTTTATTGTGGGCCTGGGGTTTGAACTCAGGCCCTCTACTGTTTGAGTCACACCTCCAGTCATTTTACTCTGGTTATTTTGGATATGAGGGTCTGGAGAACTATTTACTCAGGCTGGCCTTGAACCACAGTCCTTCCCCTGTAAACCTCCAAGTAGCTAGGATTACAAATGTGAACTAACTGTAATTGCCCAGCTTCAGACTTATTCTTTTTTAAATTTTTTGTTTTTTACTTTTGCTCTAGTGGAATTTCAGAAAAGAGTGGTAATAAATGCCATAATGATTTGACATCTCAGTAGATATATTTATACATTTTATATTTATAAATGAGGAAATTATGGCTCAACTTTGCAGGATGTGAGGCTTTGGGAATGTACACATGGCAGACAGCAAAAACACCTGTATTCAAAATGATCAGAAAGAAGAAGTACGGGACCAATAAAGCAGAACTATGAAAGGTATTCATTCTCCTAAGAAGGTATTGTCCTCATTGGTTTTGTTGTTGTTGTTGTTGTTGTTTTTTAGTGGCACTGAGGTTTGAACTCAGGGCTTACCAGGCAGGGGCTCTACAGCTTGAGACACCCTGCCAGCCCTTTTTTGAGATAGGGTCTCGTGAACTATTTGCCCAGGCTGGCTTCAAACCACAATCCTCCTGATCTCTGCCTCCTGAGTAGCTAGGATTAGAGGCATGAGCCACTGGTGCCTGGCTCTCATTGTCCATTTCTGTTATGGCCAAGGAAGACAATAGGGAAAAAAGGGAAAAAATAGTCAAGAGGATGAAGCCAGGGACCAGAGAGAAACAGACAAGCAAGCAACTATTAGAGAATAAAATCAGGGTCTGTTTGAGAGCATCTCCAACCCCCACAAGGGCCCTCTCAATGACTGCTCAGAGGACCTTCAGAATTGGCTGCAGTCCACTGAATGCTGTATGTCTCCTGTTCTATCCCTTCCAAAAGAGAATGTTTATTTTTATAATCTTGTCTTTATTCACTGTTGTATTCTATACTGCACTGGGGGCAGCAGATCATATGTCAATTTCTTTCCTAAATTTCTAGATCAAGAAGAGCAACATTTAAATTAGGCATGATGATGCATGCATGCCTGTAATCCCCAGCTACTCTGGAAGCAGGGGTGGGAGGATCTGGAATTCAAGTCCAGCCTGGGTGAAGGTAGAGGGCAAGACCCTGTCTTAAAAACAACCAAAAAAAAAGGGCTAGGGTATAGCTCAAGTGGTAAAGTATTTGCCTAGCTTGCTCAAGGGCCTGGGTTCAATCTCTAGCACTGGGAAGAAAAAAAAAGAGGAAGAAGAATAGGGCATTGACATTGAGTACTTTATCTTGGGGAAGAAGTGAGTGTATTTTGCCTTTAAGAGAGAACAGACCAAGTATCTGAATACCAAAAGCATGGACTGTGACAGATTTGCTATTGAGAAAGTACTTTTATCTCCCTGGCAGAGGGAGGTGTGCTTCTTGGCCCCCCAGATGAGGCCACATGACTAATTATGGCCACCATGCTTGAAGCTAAGTGGGCCACTTCTGAGCTACTGTATTTACTTGCTAATGTACAAGAATATGGTTGTTCCATCAGCTTGGATCACTGAGCAATGATAAAAGCAGAGCTCCAGCCAGGTGTGGTAGTGCATACCTATAATTCCAGCATTCAGCAGACTGAGGCAGGAGGATCTCCAGTTGAAGGCCAGCCTGGGTTACATAGTAAGACCATCTCAACAACAAAACAAAACAAGCAGAGCTTCCTTGTTAATCTAGAGATGTAATGTGACAAAGAAAGTCTTCATTGTTTCAAATCACTTGGATGGGGAATGTTTTTTAATACAGAATAACCTAATGTAGTTCTTTTGTGTCCATGTGTGTGTGTGTATATATTTATAATGTGTATGTATACATCATACATATGTTAGCTGTCTCTGTATTCAGTTAGACAGCAGAGACAGTTAAATTACTCTGTGAAAAAACTAAAAATCAGCTGGCCACAGTGACTCAAGTCTATAATCCTAGCTACCCAGGAGGTGAAGATCTGGAGGATCACAGTTCAAAGCCAGCCGAGGGGAAAAAAAAGTTCTCAAGACCCAATTCCATGTGCCTGTCATTCCAGCAGTGCAGGAGGTGTAAATAAGAGTATCTCAGTCCAAGGCAGCCTGGGCATAAATCAAGATCCAATCTCAAAAATAACCAAAGCAAAAAGGGCTAAATGTATGACTCAAGTGGTAGAGCCCTGCTCAGGAAGTGCAAGGCCCTGTGTTCCTATGTTTAAACCCCAGTACCACCAACTGAAAAAAAAAAGACTAAAAAGTGGAAATATAAAAGGGCTGAAGATGGGAATTCTTTCATAATGTTAGATGACAATAAATAAATCCTTTCTTTTAAAAAATTCAAAGTACTCTTTTTTTGTTTTGAGATAAAATTTCACTACATTGCCAAGGCTAGCCTTGAACTCAGCCTTCCAAGTAGCTGAGACTACAGCTGTGCACCACAATGCTCAGCTTTATTTTATTTATTTATGGTGGTACTGGGGTTTGAACTGAAGGCCTCATGTTTGCTAAGAAGGCACTCTACTTGCACTACTCCATCAGCACTCTTCATTCTATTTTAAGTGATGTGCACATATATATATACTCCCATATGAATCTGAAAGTGGTATCTCCTCACCATTCAAATCAGGAAAACTCACAGAAGCATCAATAAACTAGTCACAATGAAAGATACAGTCTAAGTGTTCATTTTGAAACATACACGGGCATTCTACCCACATCTTAACTTTCTTCATTTGATTTTAGCTTTTCCCTTATCTGAGTTTTGGTTATAGTCTTTCTTTATTCTCTTTCTACAAAATTTACAATATCTTCGAAGAACAATAGGAGTATTTTATAAAACCAAAACACAGTAGGGAAATTAGGATCTTCCACTGTCCATTATCTAACTCTCAATGTATCCTTGATCCCAACTTACTTCAGATCATCCTAATTTAGATTTTTACAAGACTCTCCAGGTGAATATATTGAACTCTAGTTTGAAGGTAGAGAGAAGCAAATAAGAAATAAACACCACTGACATTTAGAGCTGCTTAACCTCATTAGAGATATTTAAATTCATCATCTTTCTTTTTTTTTAGTCAGTGTTGGGGCTTGAACTTAGGCTTGCTAGGCAGGCACTCTACCACTTGAGCTACTCTGCCATCCCTGTTTTTGTGTTGGGTATTTTTGAGATAGGGGCTTGAGAACTACTTGCCTGGGCTGGCTTTGAACTCAATCCTTCTGATTGATCTCTTCCTCCTGAGTCACTAGGATT